AGGTTCCCCAAACCCTGGCCTCCCCTCCTCCATGGCCACTCCTCCTCCCTTCCCCCTCACACAGGTGCTTCCTCCGCCTTCCCCACAGCCACTGATCCTCCTCCCTCCCCAATCCCCAAGCGCCCGCTCTTCCATCCATCCTCCACATCTGCACATCACACATGACATTCACAAACATGCATACATCCACATCGACAAATCACACCCATAACATTCACACACACACATTCATTTACACATGTACGAGTCACACACACATTCACACACATCCACAGATACACAAGTCACATTCACGCACATGCCCATACATCAACAACACCCACATGCAACATTCACACACACATCCAAACATGCACAATAGCCACGCACATGTTCACACGTGCACACGCACGTCACACACACATCCACTCATGCACATCAGCAACACAAAGAAAATGTTGACACACGCACCTTCACACACAAACGTCACATATAGCATTCACACATGCACAGCAGTCACACACATTCACAACATCCACATACATGCAGTTTATTACACATCTGCACATCACACAAATCAATATTCACACATGCACACACATTCATACACATCATGTACATTCACACATAAACATTCGCACATTCACACACACTAGATTCCCACTCACATACAACACTCACTTCCCTCCACATTCCCATACACATTTGCACACTCACACATTCCCAATGACACACACCCTCATACACACTCCCACACCGACACACGTCCTCGCACACATTTGCACACTCACACCATACATGGACACACATTTCCATGCTCACTCACATGCATTCGCACACACTGACACACATCCTCACACACACACTCGCACACTCAGGGGCTTCCTGGCTGCAGCTGTGTCCGAGGTCACTGCTCATGTTGCTCAGTGCTGACTTGAGGGGTGCCCACCTCCAGTTCCCTAGATCCAGCCCTGTCCTGCCGCAGCCCGCACTACCCTCCCACTGTCCCGGGACCTCTCACCTGCCCCAGCCCATCCCACCCAAGGCCTCACCCCAACTCCGGCTGCCGTTCCCCAGGCAGAGTCACCCTAAGACCTCCCAGCTCAGCCCCTCCCCACTGCACCCCCACGCCCCTCCCCAAGTTTCCCACCCTCCCGATGGCTGGTCCCCTTCCACCCGCTGCCTGTTCCTTGGCTCCCTTTACCCGGAGACTCTTCAATGTTTTCTACATTCTGTCTCCAAATTATTCTCCTGTTCTGTCGTCCTTAAAAAACCTCAAAAACCCAACCTATGGAAAAGTCAAAAAGAGTAATTCATTGAACACCCTGTCTACATTTTCCAGTATTTATCACTGGCTGCTTAGAGCTCATCATTCAAAACATTCCAGCAGTACTCACACGGTGGCCTGCAGAACCCCAGGGTCCCCAGGACCCCATTTCAGGGAGTCTCTAAGATCAAAATGATCTCATTACCAAGATGTGATTTGCCTTCTTCAGTGTTGACATCTGCACTGAGGGTTCAAAAGAAACGCTGGGTAAAGCTACTAGCACCTTGCCAAGAACTGTCCCGGCCTGGTCACCTTTACATTCTTCATTGCTGTGCGGTCAAAAAAAGGAAAAAAGCCAATTTCACTTCAGAATGTCCTCAATGCAGGAAAAATGAGTCAATTTTGACAGCACATGTTCTGTGTGATGTAAAGGATTTGGTGTGTACAGCTGTCTCCAGGAAAAGCATGTCTCTGGCTGATTGTGTGAAAAGTATCCAGTCGCTTTTTCAGAAACGTCATTTTCATTTGAAATGATTGACAAGCTACGTGATTAAGCCTTGTGTGTCTGGCAGATGTGATTTTAAAAAAAACCAGGTGGGTGCAGTGGCTCAAGCCTTTAATCCCAGCACTTTAGGAGGCCAAGGTGGGATGATTGTTTGAGACAGCCTGGGTAAAATAGTAAGACCCCCAACTGAAAAAAAAAAAAAAATTAGCCGGGCATGGTGGTGCATGACTGTAATCCCAGCTGCCTGTGAGGCTGAGTCAAGAGGATCCCTTGAGCCCAAGTGGTCAAGGTGGCAAGGAGTCAAAATCGGACCACTGCACTCCAGCTTGTGTGACAGAGTGAGATCCTGTCTCCATTTAAAAAAATTTAAAAATTACCAAGTGAGCCTTCTACTTCAAGGAAAACTGACTGTATTTTCTGTCCAATGATAAAACTTGAGTTTTTCAGCAGCCATCAGAATGTTGTAAAACTTGCATCCAGTACCACAAGCTTGACAACTTCCAACTTTTGACTTTCATGAGATTTTTGATCAATATTTTAATATTAATGAAAAGTTTCAACATTTGAAAGATTTGCAGAACTCAGTTAAAAGGTATTTCCCAAGTAACTAATGCATAAAGTTGCAAAATCATGCATGGGTTAAAGGTCCATTCTAAGTAAAGATAGATGAACTCTACTAACTGAATACAAGACGCTCATTGATATGGATCCTGATTCAACATTGCAACAGGCCTTAAGAAACTACTGTTACCGGATGTTACTACTGTCTTGACAGCGTGTCGTCCAGGTTCCTGGGGCAGTTGAACAAAGAATTGAACAAAACACACAAAGCAACAAAAGAATGAAACAACAAAAGATGCATCAAAAGTGCAGATTTACTGTAGCAAAAGTACACTCCACAGAGTGGGAGTCAACTTGGGCCAGGCTACAGTCCCCACCTTTAGGGTTTTTGGTGAGCTAAAAGAATTTGGTAACACCTCTAGGTGCCCTTTAGAGGCCTCCAATGGGCTGCACCCTATAAAAGATTAGCCTGCGACCAATCAGAGGCTGGAGACTGTCTTGTTAACACAGGAAGGAGGCTGTGGCCTGAGTGCTGCCTAATCTTGCCCAGAACTGGCTGCACCTGCTGTTCTTTTGCTTCTGCCTTACCCCTTGGTTACCCTAACTTCCTATTCTCCTGCCCCACAACCACTACAGAGTTGGGTGGTGGTGTCAGGTACCCACAATTAACTGCAAAGATGATTCAAATATCCCCTTTTCCAATTACCTATCTGTGTAAGGCCAGATTTTCTCCACATACTTCAACCAAAAATGTATTTAGGTAGTCTGAGTAATGTTTTATAGTTTTCAGTGTAGACATGTTGAACATCTTTTGTTAAGATATTTTCTGGCCGTGCGCAGTGGCTCTCGCCTGTAATCCAAGCACTTTGGAGGCCACGGCAGGCGGATCACCTGAGTTCGGGAGTTCAAGACCAGCCTGACCAACATAGTGAAACTCCATCTTAAAAAAAATAAAATAAAATAAAAAAGATATTTTCCTAGGTATTCCATGGTTTGGGTGTCACTGTAAATGGGCTTTATTTCATTTTCCAATTGTTTCTACTAGTACAAAAGAATCCATGCAGGGAAAGGGTCTTCAGGCCAAAAAGGCCAAGACTCAGTGAGCTAGTCTTTCAGTATAAACGTCAATTCTAGTGAACACAGAAAAACCTAAGCTTATTCTTGATGTTAAAATGACATATATGTGTGTGTATGTATACATACACACACACACACACACACACACACACACACACACACACACACACATATATATATTTTTTTTTGAGATGGAGTCTTGCTCTGTCCCCAGGCTGGAGTGCAATGGTGCAATCTCGGCTCACTGAAACCTCCACCTCCCGAGTTCAAGCAATTCTTCTGCCTCAGCCTCCTGAGTGCTGGGACTACAGGCGCATGCCATCACACCTGGCTAATTTTTGTATTTTAGTAGAGACGGGGTTTCACCATGTTGGCCAGGATGGTCTCGATCTCCTGACCGTATGATCTGTCTGCCTCAGCCTCCCACAGTGCTGGGATTATAGGCGTGAGCCACTGCGCCTGGCTGACAACTGTATTTTTTAATTAATACAGCATTTTTTCTTCAAGTCCTAAAACAAAACTTGTCTCAAAGAAATGCAAAATAGACAAACTAATGCACCTCCACGTATCCACCACCAGCTCGCACCAACTGCGTTTGATCCTGTCTCCACTCATCAGGGAACCTGGGCCCACTCACATCTTTTTATTTCGATGCAAATTCCAGGCATGGTATTAATTCCATCATCACAATTTCCTTATGTATCTCTAAATAAGAGCTGAATATACTGGTGTTAAATGACTCTAAACTAGAATATGTCAAACTGCTTCCATCATCCACCGAAGCACAGATACTGCCCTACTGCAGGTTCTATGCAATATTTTTGTTGCTAAGCAGTCATATTCTGTCCAAAAATTTAAGACTAATCAAAAGTATGTTTAGTGTGTTTTCAGAGATTCACTTAACGTTTTTTGCAAATATTAACTCACTATAGAGTATCTGGAATATCTTATGAAACAGCCCAAACAGGATGCCATCAAGTTCCATGTCTTAAAACCTCAGCAGTGTGGGTGGCTTCTTGGATCAGTCTGAGGCCAAATCTCAGTTCTAAGCTTGATTACTACTGTCTGCCATACCATGGGGGGAAGAGGCCTGGGCAGCACTATGCTTTCTCTTCCTGTTCTCAGTGTAATTTTTGCAAAACTTCCAAAGCTTAATGCTCCCTCATCATGGTCTATTAAGTTTTTACAAGAACATGCAAGAATATTGAATGTTTTAAACAACATATGTAGGCATGCCAGAATGGCTATTTTGGTGCTATTTGAAACTGTAATTTTCTTAAAAGGCCTAATTAACATTTGCTAAAACCAAAGACGTTTACAACATTATGGTTGCTGTCTTTTATGAAAATAAGCACTCAGGCACAATACTGAACCGGCATGCAATTGATCCTTCCTCCACAGAGATTCAGTACTGACAGTGCCATAAAACTAGAGTAGAAACTCAAAAGTGAAAAAAACACCATATGAAGAGTGTCAGAAGAGTCAAGTAAAATCTTATAAGCAAAATGAAAACACAACAGTAAACTTCTCCTCCCTTCCCATTCCTTCCACAGATATCCACCACCGCCCCCTGCTGACCCCCAAACCCCAAGAGAAACCCCAGGGACAAACTGAGTGTGAGTTTTTTATTCCATTTGTGAAGGACAGTTTTAAAATGTTATTAACACTCTTAAAACACTGTTTTGTTCATTTGACATTTTCTCTATCTGCACCAATTTTTATTACAAAAATCAAAAAAGTAAAAATTCATTACAATGTTTGCACAGTATAACCACTAGTTGCCTAGACAAAAGCTAATTTCTACAAAATCAAAAACTTAATGCAGTTTTATTAAGAGAGTCAAAATTCTCTCAGTTAACTGGATATATATAGTGGTATATATCTTAAAGCAGAAAACCCCAGAAAACAAAAACAAGGAAAAAAGAAAATATATGTCAAAAGTCAGTTAAATATTTTGACCTGACAATTCCTACAAATAGTAACTTCCACTACATATAAAGGAATCTGTTCTGTGTGGTAAAAGTTCCAGAACCAAGCAGGAGATGTGGAATAAAACAATAAATCAGAACGCAGCCCCAGGTGGGGCCTGTCTTCCATGAAGCCCAAGGCAGTGATCTCCATCATTAAAGGAGGGTCCACTGTGTCTACAACTAAAACCTTCCACCACATGGTGATCTGCGAAGCTTAATTCAAAAAGACAAACGTTCTCTTCTCCACACAAATCACTGCAGAAATCTTTGTTAGGCTGCACCTTGCATAGGAAATAGCTGTGTTCTGCCAAACTCTACAGAAAACAGTAGAAGCAAGCTTTTTAAAATGATGCCCATGTACAAAGAGATAAATTACCAGGCACCTCATTTACCGCTCCAATTTATCTTGATCATATAATTTAATCTTTTAACAAAAGGAAAAGCAGCAATATCTGGTGACAGTATTAAAAAGACAATGTTGAGATTGGCATCAGAAAAACTCCAAAAGTGCATCTTATAAAAAGGACGCCTCCCTGTAGAAGCAGCTATGCACTCAGTAAGCCCGACTCATGCACAAGCACTCGCTGGGAACTTGTCGAAGTTTACTTTTTCAGAAAGTTAAAGTATAAAAAAAACAGTACAAATTGTGACATTCGTTCAAGTTGCTGCTACATCAGGATTCTGAGCAGGCTGCCAGGAAGGACTCCTGCGTTTCCGAGAGCCCCGGCAGCACTTCTAGGAGCCGTGGTACAGGTGCATGGTGCCCAGCACGGCGCTGTCGTACCGCTCCTGCACCTTCACGGAATTGGAATGCTCGACCACACTGTTCAGCTCTGGGAGGCTTTCAGCAGTGTCCCCAAACCCGTGGTAGTGTCCATAGTACAGGTTATCCCCAATGTCTTCTACCCAGGAAGGCCTACTGGCTATGCAGCTACTCGGACTCCCATTCAGGTGCAGAGAACCACACAACTCAGAGTTAGCTCTCATGGTCTCCTCCGGCTCCTCATTCCCACTAATGTAGACAGAACCCTGGCTACGCAGAAACGGCTGTCCTGGGGCTAATCCACTGCTAATTCCGTTAGCTTCTGTCAAGCACTGGCCACTCCTGCTTTCCATCCCACTGAGCGGGGTCGTGGAGGGGAAGTCCAAATGTCCATTGATGACACATCCATTTGTCAATGTATTCGATACGGAGCTACTGTTTTTCACATCTGCATTAAGAAATACACCTGTCACCAAAATTCAGAACCAATGGGGCAGGAGAAACTATAAAATGCTTCATTGCCATTATAATTTTAAAGAACTTATTTAGTTTCTTTTGCTTTTTTCCTTTTAAACCAGTTCTTTTTTCAAAGTAAAATCAATGTGCGTAGGTAGACTTAAAATTAAAATGTTAACAGTACTGTTTGCCTGGTAAGAGAAACCTGTATGCATGCCAGCAGCATCAGGTAGCTAAACTGAAAAATGGAAGCTGACAAAGATACTGTATGAAAAATACCAACACAGTCCCGAAAAGATATCAAAAAAGTGCTCTCATTTTAATACTTTCGAGAGCAGTTTTTTAAAAAATCGCCCCTAAAAAGGTCCATCAGAACTGAATGTAAAGTGTTCTACGAAGGGTTCCAATAGAACACAAACTTCTCTAGTTCTCAAGCAAAAGGGGGAAAAAAGATAAATCAAGTGGTGAATTAAGGAAGTTCTTTGAACTAGATATGACAGCATCATATAAGGTTTTTAAAAACTCTCTCCTCATAAATCACCTGACCCTCCCCTGAGTCTCAAATCAGGACTGTTAAAAGGAACCACTTTTTTTTTCTTCAGTAGCACAGAAATCTACCTAGTACTTCTGTAAAACGCCAGGAGAGCACTGGCAGAACAGAGAAAGCGCCGACTACAGGCAGGAACTCTAGCTGCCAACAGTCCTCACGCACGCAGCCTGGGCCAACAGCACAACACGGAGTCGCTTCTTCTCAGTCCAGCAATTAAAATGACCATGGCAGCCAGGGTTTCATTTATTAGGTTACTTTCAAAAACCATCTCTGCTGGAAAAAATGTTGATAGTTTAATCTGCATATACAGACATCCATTGGGAGGGAGATGTCTTACGGGACAAAAAGTCCATTACGGAACATCTGGGCACACCAGGACAGGCAATGACAAGTTATTCTTCTGTATACTGCAACTTGAGAAGCAGCAATATTCATATTCACAGGAATTCACATAACAGTATAAGGGATGATCTAAAATTACCTCTTGCTAGACTAGTTTTTATCTCAATGTTCTTCACTACCAAAGCAAAGCATGATATGAAATCTAGAAGAGCTCAGTTCTAATAACTTTTAGAATAAGGACGCAGTTGAAATACATCTGATTACCCTAACGTGTCACACACCGTGTGACTCTTCCCATGGAGGCCTCCCCTTCCATCTCACCTCCTGGATGCCTCCAACAGAGGTTTCTGTTATGCCCTGCAAGTCTTCCTGCCAAGGAAAGATCGGGGCTTGTTCAGTGAATGAAAACATTATCTAAATATTCCATTCATTGTCAATTTCTTGGATATTTAAGCAACATAGTTTAATAATTGCTATAAGTTCTTCAAAGGACAATAGATTTACTTTTCCAAATTAAATGAGAGCTTTTCTATTTGGCTAAAATCTAAGATTAGAAAATAAGTGTTTCAATGACTAAACAGAAAATAAAAACAGAAATACAACAAGCTGCTCCCAGCTGCGGGCCAAAACCCACTTTCCTTGTCACCAGCTGCCTGGCCAGCCCTCGGAACCCACCGACACCCAAACACCATGCTGGGGATGAGGTTTCGGGCAAGATCCTACCTCCCTTCCAGCCAACTCCATAGAGAAGATCAGGAATTAGAAGCAGGCACCTTCCTGCCTGAGTCCTTTCCGGGAGTAGGGACACTTGATCCTCCCGGGTCTCAAACTAGGGGCATTTAAAATACAAAGATGTCTGTACACAGTTGTTCAAAAATGTAAAATTCTTGAAAATAATTTTGGCAGGACAAAACTCCGAGTTACTCAGAAGTGTTTAAAGGAGAGCAGCCTGACTTTCGGTCTGATTCTCAAAGGACTGTGGAGGCAGCTCCCTCAAGCTTCCAGTGGACGTGGAGTGCCATGTCCCATAAGGAAAACCTCATGTAATCTCTAGTGACTTAACACATTGTTTATTGGTCAGAGTGTCATAAATCAAATGATAGGAAACACGGGGTGTATGTACTTGACATCTGGTATACGGGATGGGCTGAGTTTTTTAAAAGTATGTTCCAGCTTGGATCAAGTTTAACAAGGAACTAATGTCTGAGGAATAAAGGTTGGCCACTTCTGCCTACTCAAAAGCAGGGAGCAAGGTCATTTTCAAAAAACACAGGATTTGAGTTTTGTTATGGATCTTTAGCTAAGGTCAAATAGCCCCTGACTACAGAAAATCTATTATTTTAAATATGCTAACTGATCAGAATTTCCCTACTGAGAAAAAGGTGACCCCAGCAATTCTGTAGCTTCTAGAAAGATGAACATTTTCTTTTGAGTGATTTTTTCATGTGGGTTTGGGAAACAAAATACATACTCTTTTTTTTTTTCATACCCAGTGAAAAATTTTGCATAAAGACATAATAAACTTAAAAAAAAATCTATTTCTAAATATATTAACATGTTAAGAAAATGGCAAAAAATGTTTTTTCAGTCACCTAAATAAAAGAACATCAGAAAAAAGCAATAGCTAAATGGACAAATCATTTTAGTTATTCTAAATGCTGTAAGAACTGAGCTGCTTCTATCTTTTAAAAGTTGGAAATAGGAATACTGTTTGAATACACTAAAAACATTAATGTAGAGAATGTGTGTTGTGAAACACAGTGTTTACCATGTTAACAGACTCAGAATGAAGGCCACAGAAGCCAAAGCAACCAAGTCCTGGGTAAAGGATTCCATGCTGGCGTGACCGGGCTGAGTCTGAACCACACTGCCTAGTTCTCAACGTTTACTGCTAGTCGTCCTCTTTGCAGTATATTGCTTTGAAAATATTAACCATAGCATGTTCGGTATATTCACCCAAAGGCCGTATGTCAGAAAATTAAAAATGCAAACCTCATTAAAAATAAGCAAGGCACATTAAGCAACAGCTTCAAATCAGAATAGAAAGATTGCACTTACATTTTTCATGTCCATAGAATATACCCAAAACACTAATCCTTATATCTACAAACTTAACCAAGATATGTAAATTATAGTATAACATTTTTTAAAAAGACACTGAACAACAAAGTGCAAAACGTCTTCTGAGAGAAACTTATGTTAGAAATAATATGCATACTGATTCTTGCAACGACAGGGGGTCTGCATTGCTGACACAGTATATATTTCTATTTCTTTTGGTCCAACAGAACCACTCTCCTGCTGTTTGGTGTCTTCGACCATTGGATTGTTGTTGCAGCTAACAGGAAACTGTCCACTCCCACCTGTTACAACAGCAAACTCCCTATCAACGTGCATTTTGTCAGCATCGTCTTCTGTGTCGCCATTCATGAGTGGTACGGCAGAATCCAAGCTTGGAGCTGTACAGAAAACAAAGACTATTTCAGATTCCTTTGTAACAAGATAACTGTTCAGTCACACAGTTTACATTCCTTTGTGTGAGCACTGAACAGTCTAAAACAGTCACATTAAAAAAAAAAAAAATCGACAGGTCACAATGAGCTCAGCAAATGACTGAAAAACTTCCACAATAAAAAAAATTTCCTGACATATGCAGAGTTTAAAGTCATGGAATTTCAGATACCTATTATAGATTTACTTGATGGCAAAAATTATAATTTTTTGGCCACTGAGAGGACATAAAGTGGTTACATAACCTGGAAACAATTCTAAACTCTATTTTCAAATTCAGCATGTTTTTCGAAAAAAAAAATATTAAGACAATTTTAAATCAACAACATACAATTAAAACAATTCTGATTTTTTTTTTTTTAAATTCACTATTTCCGGGACTCCATGTTTGGATCCCCTTCCACGAACACTCTCGTGGAAGCCCTCTTTCTCTCTCATGGATTTTCCCTCTGGGGTCCGCTTCCACGCTCTCGTGGAAGGCTGTCCTCCCCTCCTAAATTCCATCTCTCTCTCTGTTCCCTTCCAGTGTGGAAGCTGCTTTTCTCTCCCAGATTCCATCTTTCTGGTTTCTCTCATTCAGTGTGAGAGTTAGGTGTTTCTTTCTCTCTCCTTCTCCTGTTTCTTTCTCTCTTTAAATGAATCACTTTCTACAAGCAAACAAACAAAAATTTCACTATTTCCATTAACAAAAAATAAGGTAAAGGCTGAGACTCAAGACTAATCCGTCGGTACTGTCCCAGAGTGACATTTGACCTGAGCACCAAATTATGTAAAATTATCACATCAAAATACAGAAAACATTAGAAATGGGAAGCTAAAACTACCCAGCCACTTCACTTACAAGATTACCCTTCTGTGTACTGCGATGTGAACGGCCCATGTCATACACACGCCACACAAGCACCTCCACCTCCGATTCCTAGCAAGACTCACTTCTTATAAGCAGCCCCACCTGTCTGAACGGCTTCTAACAATCACTGTTACACTTTGCTTTATTCATTTGCTGTGGCATGTCACATCGGTTAATGTAGAAACAAGTTTTACTCTGTCATACGGCTGTTACAATTCACCTAACCAAATTCCCTGCAGCTGTCTGGGCCACTTCAGTTTTCTTTTCTATCATGAATGTCACAATTAACATAAATACATCTTTGTGAGTATTTCTGGTTAACTCAGATACTTCGAATTATTTCTGGGCCAAAGAATACACACCACAAATAGCAACCCTCTTTCATAGAAACATTTAAAAATAGGGAGAACGGAACTTTGCAGCTTGAATTAGCTCTAATTTTGGAGGCACATGAGTCACTTTTGATTCTACTGTATATACTAGTTCTGGATTATTCTACAAAGATGCTAATGTACAGAATGAGAAACCTGATTTCTAAATTAGTATGTGGGAGAGAAACAGACCAGTGTGATTTGTGTAGTTTGGTGGGGGTAGGGGGTACTCAGAAGTCTGAACAGGTAGGATGCCAAAAGCATTCTTCAAATACAGGTCCTTTAAAACCAGAGGCATTAAATGGTGGATTTTAGTCTTATCTATTTAAAGCTTTAAAAAATCTTCCACAGGCCAGGCTCCACTTTTCCTATGACTCAGGCACACACTTTTTAGAAATCAGTGGTAAGCAGGGCATCTTTTGGAGGAAAAAAAAAAAAAGGGTGGGGAGTGGTTGGTGGAAGAGCAGATCCCCACAGCGTGCTGGGTGAGAGTCCTCCCAACTCCAGGAGCCCTTCACGGCATGCAGACACCGGGAAGCTGCAGTCAAGAGCAGGTCAGTGTTCGCTCCTCCCACAGGCTGCCATCCTGCAAAGCCAACCATGAACGTGGTCTGTACAAAAAGATGGACTTTTATGGGAATACAATGCAGACAGCTTAAAATACCTACACACTCAATTGGCATTCAGATGCCAATGTTCCCTGGATAAAGCAGCAACTGGAGGTTACTTGCAATTTCACACCTCTGACAAGGTTAGAAAATCCCAACAGAGAAGAGCTTCACAAAAGGTGGGGTATTTGTCTTCTCGTCCACTAGGCCCAGTGCCTAGACTAGTTCTATCAACAGACGAACCCCACTCACTAGCCCGAAGAAATAAAAACACAAGGTAAACAAAAACAAATGATCCGTACCTCGTCTAGCCTGTAATACAACGTGAGGAATCACAACCATCCACGCAGGCCTGGCAATGCGAGGTGCAGGGACGCGGGCCCTGAGGGCGGAGGCACCACTAGGGGGCTGGAAGAGCCACGGCAAGGGCAGCCCAGGAAGAGGAAGTGGGCAAAGCACTATCTCCCAGCAGCAATTAATCCTGTTAACTAGAAGCCTCGCAGTGACCAGGGGCCTCTCAGAAACTGCTCCATTTAGGAAATACATTTTTTGTTAATGCAGATAATTTCTCTAAGAAAGCAACGTCACAATGAAAGGCTTCTTTCCATATTTTACCAATCAAGATTCTATTGTGGGAATCATGACATCAGACATCCTAGAATTCCATTCCCTCTGTAGTGTAGTTCCCACAACCAGCTGTTCCAGAGCCTTGGGTAATGCTGTTTTATCTAAGTGCCTTCTTCATTTCTTCATTCCTAGTAGCTGTTAAGTTCTCAATGGGCCGGTGGAGGCATTAAGCCTACAATTATTTCTCTCTTTAAATTATGTTTCAACCCAAGAAATTAAAATTGGCCTCTCAAAATTTTAAGAACGTTGGATTTGGAACTGTTTCCTCCCACACACCTGTTGCCACTGCTGAAGAAATCATTTAAATGCTACACCTTGCATTTGAGAAAGGTGGCCTGTACAGACATTTCAGAAAAACAAAATGTCTCCCAAGGTCGTCAGTTTTTACTGTTTGTGAAAGAAAGCACTATCTTTTCCTATCTTGCTATTGACTCTTAAACAATGATTGAATGCTTCTGCAAATGTCAGTTTGACCACTTTTTACAAAGGGTCCTTACCTACTGACTGTAAAAGCAGGTGTCTGTTGGGAAGACAGGCTTCTAGTATACCGAAGACACAACATTCAGGGTGGAAAACTACCTAGCTCAAAACCTCCAACCTCCCTGCTCAGAGATACAGCCACACCCAGGTGCAGTCACTGCCTGCCCTCCTAAGCGAGAGCTAGCCAGCAGAGCATGGCTGACTGAGAAACCTGCATTCCTGCCCCTGGGGGACACAGGGAGATGCTCCACTTTGGGCTGACACTCAGGGCAACTGAGCGGTCTGCATTTGTATTTTCATCTGAAATTTGGGGGTTGCACAAAGCCCCTAAAGGCAGTTCCCAGTAACTCTGTAACTATATGAGCTATTCAGAATCAAACTGCTTGGAACCATAAAAAAAAAATCTTAGTTTCAAGAAAGTCTGCAGCGTTACAGAAGTAATGCAACTGGACACCACGGTCGTGCCACTACGAAGGCTTGCAGAGTGCTGATGGGAGTTAAGACACGCTGGTGTACAGCTTATACTGAAGCACAGGAAAACAGGACTTTAATTCCCAGGCACACCTGTAGATACATCTAGGGCTTAGGAAAAATGCCTGATCACAACTTTAATCTTCACAGCTTAAAAAAAAAAAAAGCACTCTAAACAGTCATGTATTTTAAGATAAGGGCGCTCTAATGAGTTAACAGGACATTACTGCCAAGACCTGAGCCATACTGGTTATATTCCGGAAGACTAAATACAGCAGGAGACATTTTACAAGTCAAAAACTGTCAAGTAGTTTCACACAATACATTTAAGTGAAGCTTGGGATCATGATCTACATTAGTAATCTACCTTTTACTGTGCCTCTGGGTGCTGTAAGGGTACCAGGTGCTGATCCAGGGCCCTCCCGCCTGTGGCCTTTTCACGGAACTGAGTGCATCCTGCTGTTGCTTAAACTGGGGAAGCCTCAATATCCTCTCATTAAAGAAGGGAAGACGCTCTGCCTTTGTAATTTCCCACCAGCCATTACCTACAACTGTTCTTTGTTCTGCTGTAGAGCACATTTTACTCAACTTTTTTCTAATAAAGGTCCTGTTAAAACCACATTTTTTTTTTTTTTTTTGTATTACAAGGCGATCTTTCGTGGGACCCGTCAGGGCCCACATTCCAGCAGAGCAGAGGGTTGGGATGACTCCAGGTAGCATGAAGCAACAAAGGACGGAGGACAGTGAGCCCTGTGGGAAGACCAGGGGTTTGGCTCCAAGAATACACAAGTGGCTTGTGATTAAGTGTGCCAGTCCTGGTTTTGCTTCCCACTGCAGTGTCCACAACTGTGCTGAAGACAAATCAGGCCAATGAGGCTTGCTCAACGTAAGACTTTCAGTGGAAAATGCAGACATTGCCTGGACTGTTAAGTGTAATTCAGACTGTGTTTCAAGACGTTTCATCTTTAGGGACATCACAGCTCTAGAGATCAAGAAAAAACAATTGCCTCTTACTTGAGCACAACTAGGTAGATGTGATCTGTCATTCTGGCCAAATTTTTATAAACAAATATACTGGAAATCTGAAAAGACTAAGGACCTCAGCAGTTAAAGTGCTATAATATATAGCTAAACTAGAAGGAATTAAATCACAAATTCACTCCTGGGAGGCATTTTATTTTCTGATTCTCAAGTGTCAAGCAACTAACATCTATCATTTAACAAACCTGTTGGCCATCTCTGCCTTCCTTTACCAAGTCTTTAAGCCTGCCTAACACAAACAGTTAAGGACAGAAGGCAAGAGATATGTTATCTATGTTAAATCCACTCTGGGGAAAGTGTTAAAACTTTCCACCAGTAATTTTACCTTTAAAGCATCATGTTGTAGATATTTGTTTCTATAAGGTGTTTTAATATTCAATACCATCAGAGTATGAATGAGATTCTAAGAGCAATAATATGCCTAGGTGATGAAAACGGAGCTGTGTAACACTTGAGGTCTGCTGTCACTCCAGCCTACTTCTGGGGCAATTGTCCCAATTATGAAATTGAAGTTATTAGGTCAGTGTTTAAACTCCCACTGTATTCCCCTGCTTCTTCCCCACGACTGGAGCTCCATGCAAAACAACTGTCAATCAGCAAATGAAGTATTCACTCATGGAAGGGACCGGTATTCTTTTCGAACCAGGATCACTGAAAAACTTGACACCACTTTCCAAGGAGTACATATAAAAATAATTGCATTGGGTTATTCCTCAAGATTAACCAAGAACGCTAACAAACCTGAACTGAGTTTTATACACAGTGGTGCAGCAGGAGTCTCGAAGCCCATGCATCATACCATCTGAGCAAATGGTTGATAAACAGAAAACAAAAAAAAATTTTATGACTGACACTTCCTTGCACTATCTAAAAGGAACAAAATCCCACACTGGGGAAAGTATTATCCCAAGGTACTTTCCATCAAAACAAACTGCTTAAGTAACTGTGGATTTTATTTCACCCTCCAGAATTCATGTCCACACTTATGTCTATATTCTGAACACACACATTTAATACAGATGCAAATGCCTTTATGCAAGTTAAAGTATGACTTCTTGTAGAATAACTTCCCAAAGGAGTTAATATTCAAGCACTACAAAAGGCAGTCTTTATTCTTCACTTAACATCTTCTACAGCAACATCGTTTCCAAAAGAAAATTACTCCAGTTTAAAATACTTGAAAGTAGTTTACTAAAAGTAAAGACACTTTTTGTGGGGAAGAGTAGTTAATATTCAGACTCAGGATTCCAGTTTTTTTTTTTTTTTTTACTTTTTACCATGTTGGTCAGGATGGTCTTGAACTCCCGACCTCAGGTGATCCAGTGCTTTTGCTTTTTAAGTGAATTTTACAGGGACCTCCTTAAGGGCTGACTTTGAAAACTTTCTGGAAGTAATTACTTTTACAAATTCCACACTTAAAGCTTCAATATTTCTAACTCTTAAATTCTAGGAAAACAGAACAGACTAAAGTTTTACTGATAAGATCCAAGCTGGCATCTCTATGCAGCCAAGATATTAACCCTGGCACCTTTAACTTTTTTTTTAAGAGCCAAACCAAAAAAAAGCTTAAACTTTTTATATTTTTATATGTGAAGTTACTCAAAGTATTTTATATGCATGTGTTAAATGAGGAAATAATTTATCATATTTTCATATGTAAAGTTACTCAAAGAATTTTTTATCCATGTGTTAAAGAAAGAAAGAAAGAAGAATTTATCATATTTTACTCTGGCATGAGAACCAAAAACCTAATAAAATAATTCAGATTAAGCAAAACTTAAAACTCACATTGAAACAGGAAATCAAGATGCCAGAAATTACAATCAAAACAAATTAGAGCAACATATCTTTAAAACTAAAAAACTGGTCAAATAATGAAAATAATTATATATCTACTGAAACCAGTAACAATTTCACATAGAATATTCAGGTAATTGAGAGAGGAAAAAAAACCAAAACCCTGTTTTAATGATCAACAATTAGTCCCAATACCCAACATACCACATTATGTAATGGTAAAAGGTGGGTGGGGGAGGGAAGCACCTTTCCCAAAAAAAAGAGTGTGGTGGGAGTGTAGGTGAACTTTTCCCATAAAGAAGAGTGTGGTGGGAGTATAGGTGAGCTGAAGATGCCTATCTATGCTCACACAAACACAAAATAAAAATATATATACACACCCTTGTGATGTGTGGGGCAAATCTAAGGACTGTCAACTACATAAAAGACTGAACCACTAGAAGTTCCAGGATATTAACAGTCACAGTATACAAATTAAGAAAACCAAGGAAGAGCAGCTTTCAGGTAATGTGCATCTTGGCTTAAATATTTCTACTGTGATCATCACAGAAACATCAGTCACTTACTATGTACCTGGGTGGCTCAACCTGTCCAAGTTCTCAATGCTAGGTCTGCATATTACCTGCAACACTTAAACAGAAGTGCCTGCCTCCAACCATATTTTTGTCTAAATTAGCACCCTCAGGGTTAAGACCGGCAATGTACAGTTTGGGAATGCTGCATGGTAAGTTTAACATGCAAAATGTGAACTTCTAATCACTGGTCAACCAAAACAGATTCTCATTCTAAAGGAAGAAAATAAAATTCCTGAAAATCAGCATGACTCTTTAAACCAAATCTATGTAATAATGAGGTTTAGAAAGCAAGGAATCCTCAGAAATGCTTTCCAGAGCAATTAAGCAACATAGTATTGGCCAACTCAAATGACCTTAGAAACTCTGGAACTAGTTTTACAAACTCTGCTAGGAACATTTTGAGTCCAATTAGCATGTTAAGTGATCTCTTTTTAAAAATACTAAACAGAGGCAGGGTGCGGTAGCTCACACCTGTAATCCCAGCACTCTGGGAGGTTAAGGGGGGCGAATCACCTGAGGTCAGGAGTTTGAGACCAGCCTGACCAACAGGAAGAAACCCCATCTCCACTACAAATACAAAACTTAGCTGGATGTGGTGATGCATGCTTGTAATTCCCAGCTACTCAGGAGGCTGAGGCAGGAGACTCGCTTAAACCCAGGAAGTGGAACAGAGGTTGCACTGAGTTGAGATCGTGCCATTGCACTCTAGCCTGGGCAACAGGAGTGAAACTCCATCTCAAAAAAAAAAAAAAAAAAAAGAAAAGGAAATAAAAATACTAAACAGAATACAGGATTTACCAGCAATAAGGGAAAATGAAGCATAAATCATTTTTCAACGACATTTAGACTATACAGTGACATACAGGGACAGACATGTACAATTGGTGCATGAGGGCACAACAAGACCACTCTACAATATTAACCAGGCATTCAAGGAAATGGCAAAGGATTTTTAAAAAGTGGATGCTCTTAAAAGGGCTTTATATTAAACCATGGTACAAACATGACAAGCTGAACACATCAGCACTAAAAAGACCATTTTGAAACGGATGCAGATCTTCATGTCATGCTTATGATTTTAGCATCTTTCCAGAAATGCTTAACTCATAAAAACCCAGAATTTGATAAAACTGTTAAATCAATACATTACTACAGAAAGTCTTTTATCACAGGAATTTTTATGGTGACAAGATTTAAACAGCTGTCAAGTATGTAACACTAACGTTTTATCAACTTTATAGGGAAAAAATGCTTCACTTGAACACACTTAAGGTAGAAAGCATGATGTTTCATGAAATTTAAAGTTAATTAAAACCTCTAGATTTTTAAGTGATTTACTGATAGCCAGTATTCCTCATGCTATAACTAGTACAGTTGATTTAAAAAACAAAACAAACTTTGTGCTTATCCTCAGCAAACCTGAGCTCATAATCTGGTTCATTACACTGCCACCTTTCCCTTTAGGTTCACTAAATATTCCTGCCAAGCTATCACATTTGTCTCCTACTTTTTTTTTTTTTTTAAACTAGAGATGAGGGCACACTATGTCACCCAGGCTGGTCTTGCACTCCTGAGCTCAAGTAATCCTCCTGCCTCGGCCTCCCGAAGTGCTGGGATTACAGGTGTGAGCCATGACACCTGGACTAAGACATCGTATATATAGCTACAGATGATTTTCCTATAGGAAAGGGAGGTGTTTTCAACTTCAAGAGTGATTTGCTGACTCTGCTGATTTGCAAACTCCAAAATTACCTAAAAAAAAAAAAAAAAAAAAAAAAAAAAAAAAAAAAGGCCAAGCGCAGTGGCTCATGCCTATAATCCCAGCACTTTGGGAGGCTGAGGCAGGTGGCTCACTAAGTCAGGAGTTTGAGACCAGCCTGGCCAACATGGTGAAGCCCCTTCTCTACTAAAAATACAGAATTAGCTGGGTGTGACAGCATGCACCTGTAAACCCCACTACCTGGGAGGGCAAGGCAGGAGAACTGCTTTAACCTGGGAGGCAGACATTGCAGTGAGCCGAAATAACACCACTGCACTCCAGCCTGGGTGAAGAGCGAGATCCTGTTTTTTGTTGTTGTTGTTGTTGTTTTCTTAAAAAAAAAAAAAAAAAAAAAAAGGTGGAAGTATACGTAACGAAAATAACTTACCTTAGGGACTTAAATCCTCAACATCAAATTATATACCACATCTTGCAATGATAAATGAACTCATATTACCATGTGGGGTACAGAGACCAGCTGAGGTCAAATCATAGTACAGAAAACATTTACCTTCCCGAATGTGAAAATGTTTTACTGCCAGACCATCAGCAATTTTTGTAAGCCCAGGAACATTTAGAAGCAAATTAAAAAAAAAAAAAAAAAAAAAAAATCAGGCACAGTGGCAGATTTTCTTTAATAGATATATTTCAAACAGATACAACAAATTAAAAAATCTAATTCATGGCAGGTAAACATAGGTGCTCAATAAGTTCCACAGAGACATTTATATTTGGGCTGTATTTCCCTCACATCCCTTTTGTTAAGTGTCCCATCTTCGCAGTGGCAGTACAGGAGAAATCTCCAGTCACCGCACAATCCACCAGGCACAATTACCACCTGAAGTGAAGGTCTCATCTCGAAGGTGCATTCAGCCATAAAAAGAAAACATATTAAAGGACAGAAAAATAAGTGTGCTCTTCCCACCCACAAAGTGGTCTCACCTTCAGTTCTAGCTTTCTTTACTCCAAAGGCTTCTGAGTCTTCCAAGCTTCTCTTTCGATTTGTTCCCACACTAATATGATTAGGAAATACATTCTGATGACCCCCATTTAAGATGCCATTGTTATAGAAATGGTTCAGATGACAATTCTGGAGGTTCAAGAGAAACTGGGCACACTCTTGGAAACCCTGGGTTTGTGCAATGTCTGCTGCTGTCAGGCCACTGGCATTTCTCAGGCTGTACAACACAAAAACACTGAATTACACCCCATCCATGTGCTAACCTGGTCTCTGCTCCTGCTGAACTGACTAGCTATCTGAAGGTGGTATGAAAGAGTAAACAAATTCATAGCAAATCTTCATTAAAGAAGTAGTTAATCAATCTAGCTCTGTAACTAACTTCTCTTATACACATTTGATTTCTAAGCAAGATTTGGGAGATAATTTTTAAAAATAAATATGCTAAACTTTTAAAAAAGACATCTTCCTATTTAACTTCTCAAAATCTTGTTCTGTTAGTCTGAAGAATCTAAATTTATGCTAACTTCAGACTTAAAACTGAATTCTATATTATCTGCACTTAATTGTAATAACCCATTCCTTTAGCGTGAATAAAATCAGAACAAACAAACATGTACTGAAATTGTCCATGGCATTCATAACAACTGTCTTCCTAAAAACAAAAGTAATGGCTTACCAACAAGCCAGACTTTATGCTTACATGTGACACTGTAAGTGGAAGTTTAGAAGGATGTCCTGACATTAAAGTAACCTATCATCAGACTCTGAATACTGTCCTAAAAACACATCCCAGCACTCACAAGAACCAAGGTTTTACCTGGCTAATAATACTAAAAGGAAAGGTCTGGGACTTCTACAGTAGCTAAAACTCCTATTAAAGTAGGAAGTGATGGCAGAGTAAGTGAAAGGGCTGAATAAAATAGAGTAAGTTGAACTTGTAAACCTTTAGGACACTGAATTAAAACTGAGGGATCAAAAGTAACTCCATGGTGAAGTTCCCCTGGAAGACAAGAATGTACACTGCTCTGTGAAATAAACCTGTAAAAAAGCAGACATCCTGTTAGCTGCAGGTTGATAAACAAACTGGAGAAGTACTTAACAGCAAAGACAGCACCCATACCTGTTCAGCAAGCTACACTACATCCACAGCAAAAGCATGATGAAATAAAGGCCTTATGCTGTGTCACTCAAACCACCAATCCAGAACCCTGATGCTTTTCTTGGAATTACTGTTAATGGAAAAACAACAAAACCAAAAAAACTAAAAAACAAAAAAATAATAAAAAACAACCTGCATTTAAGAATGAAATCTACAGAATTAGGGACAAATAACATTACCTTATTTATAAGGACTAACAATAGCCTTGTATTTGTATTTCCAGCCATCATAAAAAGCTCTGACCTCAGAAATGAAGTGTGTGAACACACACTAAAATCATGTCCCTACGTTTTAAAGCATAAGATAAATGTATTATACATTTTGAAAAAAATATCTAAATCCTATTTCATCAGACATAAAAGAGAATTGAGAATTTCAGAAACCAACAAAATTCTTTATAAAAATATAAGGCAGCTACGTGCAGGACTATTAGAGACTGAAGTCATTTTTGTTAGCCATAAGACTTCATGGCTGTGAATGGATGATGAATATTCTCTAGTATTTCATAATCTTTTTATTTTGATTATGAATTAAATGAAAAGAAAGCACCAAAGTTTGGGCAGATTGAATTACACTAATTACACTTGTACAAAATCAGATACCTTGTTATTGAAATATAAAATACACTAATATTAAGTGACAGCTTAATCATATAGCTGAAGTTTTTTTTAATGCGGTATTTCGCTTTCAAAAGATATCAGAAGTGCAGATGACCTGGGAGGGTCTACTCTGTCAAGAAAGTGAACAGAAAAGTAAGTTGCCACATGAAAATTCAAAACTCTTCGAGGAGAGCATAGGTTTATAAACTGATTATTTCTACAGATAAGCAGATTTGCTCTCTAAAGTCAAAGAATAGAAAAATGAGAAGCTATCACTTACTATTAGGACAAATAAAAATATACAATAAACCCCACAGTAAAGATTACTCTTTAGTGGACCAGAGAATAAAAAACAGCTAACAGATTTTTGAAATGGCACTTATAATCATAAACACCATGCCAGGCATGGTGGTTTGCGCCTGTAATCCCAGCACTTTGGGAGGCTCGAGGCGGGTGCATCACCTGAGGTCAGGAGTTCAAGACCAAGCTTGGCCAACATCATGAAACCCCATTTATACTAAAAATACGAAAAATTAGCTGAGTGTGGTGGCACACGCCTGTAGTTCCAGCTACTTGGGAGGCTGAGGCAGGAGAAACACTTGAAACTTGGAGGCAGAGGCTGCAGTGAGCTGAGATCGCACCACTGCATTCCAGCCTGGAAGACAGAACAAGACTCTGGCTCAAAATAAATAAATAACCAGTGCCAACATATGGAGATTCCTAGACCCTGTAAAGTTTGAGAGTGTTAGCCTACACACAGGTAGCAATGGTAAGCTCTCCCACTTCGCTTTTTTCCCTACCAAAAGTAGTTAAACATGTGCTTGTCCTCTACTTAGACTAACCAAATTTCTGTATGGTTTTATGTACCATTTCAAAACTTACTTTAGCTCAAAAGAAGGCTTATGGCCCACTCATGCTATGTACTTGTACATAAGGAACAAGCAAAGCGAGAATAATCACAAGTCAAACAACTTCTGGCATCTCACATAATTTTGGGGCACTAGAAGGCAGACATCATGGGAAGATCAAAAAGTTCTAGAAAATGTATTGGATAGGTATCACAATCTAGGACACATGGTAACGGTGGAGTTATTAGAGAAAACTAATTCTGCTCAACATTTAAGTGGCACTGTCTATGCAGCATTATCAGAAACAGAAATATCTAGCACCCCTTCTCTGCTTCTAGTGAGGTACAAGAACATTTCAACTCTATCATTTCCCTTGTTACCAAGGGCTGAATGTATACAACATACTGTTTAACTTGAGAGCATTTATAGTCTACTCAGAGGAAATCTATTATTGCCTGACTCCGAGACACAACAAAAAATGACCACCACCATCTCTTGCCCCTGAACGGGACCCACATTCTCATTTCCTCTCCTTACCTACATTCATCACCTCCACTATCCCTGCTCACATGAAAAGCCTTGCAAGTGGTGGCTCAACTGTGTAGTGCACATTAAACAAACTGGCCTGAAACGATCACTAAGGATCACCTAATCCAGAAGAGGCAGTTTTCTAAAAAGGACTGTGTAGTAAATATTTTAGGCTTTGGAGACCATACATTCTCAATCCTAACTACTCAATTCTTTTGTTGTAGGCTGAAAGCAGCCTCAAGACAATTGAGCATGGCTATGCTCTGAGAAAGGTTTATTTATGAATACTGACATTGAACTTTCACCTAATTTTACGTGTTAGAAAATATCATTCCATTGATTTTTGCTGAACAATTTAAAAATCATTAAAAATCATTCTTAGACCATAGGTTATACAAAAAAAAAAAAAAAAAAAAAAAAAAGGCAGCAGGCCAGAACTGCTGAATAACATTTAATCAAATAGACGATACTGTAAATATTCTTCTATCCTTGTTAGTATTTTTAAATGGACATATTGTTATGGGGTACACTGTAAATTCCAATACAATATATAGGGATAAAAAAACAGCATAATAGCATATACATCCCCTCAAACCCTTTTCATTTGTATTGAATTAGCTATATAAAAATATATCAAAAATTACAGTTAACTAGTCACGCTACAGAGCAAGGTAACCCTAGAGCCTATTCTTTCCATCTAGTAACCACTCTTTTAAAGAGACACAGTATTTCCCTGTTGCCCCAGCTGGAGTGCAGTGGCACAATCATAGTTTACCACAGCCTGGAACTCCTGGGCTAAGGGATCTTCCTTACCCTCAGCCTCCTGAGTAGACAGGGATACAGGTATGTGTCACCATGCCTGGCTACTTTTTTTATTTTGAGAGACATGTTGCTCAGACTGGTCTCAAGCTCCGGGCCTCATGCAATCCTCCCACTTCAGACTCCTAAAGCACTGAGATTACAGGCATGAGCCACTCTCTACCTTTTTTTTTGAGACGGAGTCTCGCTCTTGTTGCCCGGGCTGGAGTGCAATGATGCGATCTCGGCTAACTGGAACCTCAGCCTCCCGGGTTCAAGAAATTGCCCTGCCTCAACCTCCCAAGTAGCTGGGATTACAGGCATGCGCCACCACACCCAGCTAATTCTGTATTTTTGGTAGAGATGGAGTTTCACCATGTTGATCAGGCGGGTCTTATACTCCTGACCTCAGGTAATCTGCCCACCACAGCCTTCCAAAGTGCTGAGATCACAGGCGTGAGCCACTGCACCCGGCCACCACTTTCTACTTCTAGGAGATCTTTTTCAGCTTCCACGAAGTGAGTACAGTACTTGGAGTATTTATCTTTCTGTGCCTGGCTTACTTAACGTAATGTCTTCTAAGCTCATTTATGTTGCTGAGAATGACAGAATTTTTTGTTTTTTTATGGCCAAATAGTATTCCATTGGGTATATATGACACATTTTCTTTATCTGTTCATTTGCTGATAGACACATAGGTTGATTCCAAATTGGCTATTGTGAATAGTGCTGGAATGAGCATGGGGTTGCAGATGTCTTGGTATATGGACTTTCCTTTGACTATACACCCAGTAGTGGGACTGCTGAATCTTATGGTAGTTCTATTTTTAGTTTGTTCAGGAACTTCCATACTGTTCTCCATAATGGCTGTACAAGTCTACATTCCCACTAACACTGTTTAAATGTTCCTTTGTCTCTGCATTCTCATCACCATGTGTTACTTTTTGATAACTTTTTTCAGTTAGAATGACATACAGTCTATGTCATTCTCTTTAGAATGAACAATCTTTCTACTCTTACTATTCCTCTCTCTTAATGGATTTTGTGAAAAACATCTATTTTATGTACTATTCAATTCAAATAAAATAACTTTATAAAAGTTGCCATATCTGTCACAATATATTAAATACCTAGAAAAATATCTAAAGGTAAACCTGAGAGGGGTGTAAAACAAAAGACTTTGAGAGAGTACTTAGCTGTAGAACAATCATTCCTATTCCAAAATTGAGTGTTTCTGGTTACATGTTCTAAGTGCCTTACAATAAACCAGGCAGTGTGCTTAATC